GGGGGGGGGGGGGTTGTGGAGTGGCAGGCTTGCAAAATGGTATTTCTCAGGACTCTGATTATAAATAAATTATATCCACTTAATGGACTGTGATTAAGTTCCATCCAAGAAACAAATATCATAAGGAGCATGATTCTGCACATGGTCTGTTATTAATGGAAAATTGGAACCCTTGAATAAGATTGAACTGGTGTTTGGAATACATACAATTGCAGATGAAAAGACGTATAAGAGGCTTGAAAAGAAGTTGATGCTGTTTACTTGTCAATCTCATATCAAAATACCTGATTTCAGATTTCAGAGAACAAAATACCTGTGTTAATTGTTTGATTACACTTTTAACAGTTATATTAATTGAAGCTTATTTTTCTACCAAAAAAAATATGAAGCTTATTTTATTCTCAAAGAAGCTGTCAATTTTTAACTGATACAGTTGCAAGCATTTGATACAAATTGGTGCATGCTGTCTCTCTTTAATGTCATTGCTTCCTCACCTATGATAAACAGGTGCATTTCGAGTGGGATTTATCACATTTGATATGTCAATTAGCACAAACAATTCCAACAGTAAGCCTAATTTCAAGGAGCTTGCAAGGTTGATTGCAAAGGAGTTGGAAGTTGATAATTCCCAGGTATACACATTTCCTGTTTCCTTTATTTAAGTTGTTTCTAAACCTTTTGGCTTTTGGGTCAAGAAGCTATCAATCTAAGACTTTGGTTCTAACATTACACAATAGTATTTATAGTTATTTTTACCAACTTTAAATTGGTTAACTTTGATTGATTCATCTTGACCACTTAAGCGGATGGTTTAATTTTCAGGTCCGTCTGTTGAACTTTACTACTAAAGAGGATGATTACCTAGTTAGATGGGGCATTTTTCCAGCTGCATCAGCCAATTACATTTCTAACATTACAGCTCTGGTAATACCACTGCTCTGACACTAAAGTGTTTTTTTTTTTTTTTGGGTTCAATTTGAATGTTTTTCCCTCTTATTTGATACAACATTCACCTGAGGCTTATTCAATTTTATTTTGCACAGAGCATAATACTGCGTCTAAAGGAAAACCATGTTCAGTTTCCTGGGAGATTTGGGAATTACCAGCTGGTTGAATGGAATGCTGAACCTCAAAAGAAGCTGTATGTTTTCTATTTCTTTTCGCCTTATTATTTTGTTTTAGTTTTCTTTAACAACATTGTGTGAATGGATTCAATTGAGATATGAGGAGGAGTGCAGCCACCCTAAGATTCCTTTTTTTTCTTTTATTCTTGGTTGATTGGCGGTATCTCTGTAGTGCTAAATGCCTGTTTCCTTGCCCCTCATCTTGAGATAGAACTGAATTAGTTTCAAAAAACATCTTGTTTCTTCTGGAGCATTTCAGGACGTGGTGGCAGCAACACCATAAAACAGTGGTTGCTGGAGTAATCACTTCCGTGCTTCTTGGTTTGTCAGCCATGGGTATATGGTTGGTTCAGAGACATAGACAAAGAGCAGCCAGTGGAGCTTATGAGCCTGTTGATGCCATTGTTGCAGAGCAAGAGCTTCAGCCACTGAGAATGTAAATTTTCATTCAGTCATGATTATTTTGGTACATGCTTTCCTTCCATATTTATGATCTATCAAGGATGAACATGCTTCGAAGATCAGATTCATACTTGTGGGGATGATCAAAAGGTGGATCATTCTGAGTGGTAATCTACCATTCGTTGACATTGTACAATGAAAAGGAAGGAAGAATTAATGGACAACAAATGACAGGGACAAGAATGTATGGATGTCCATCACAGTTTCAAACATCATGCGTGAATAACATATCAGGTGTGGTTATGGTTTTGTTAATAAGGCCATACAAACATATCTCCGGTTGAGTAACACAACATACTTGTTTGCACATTAACCGTTTGGAAACTAAAACATGTTACCATAATAGAGGATAATTATATGTTCTTTCCAAATCTCGTCCATCCCAAGTAGTCAAGATTAACAATTTACAATTGAACTATGAACATTCCTAGAACCAACAGTCGAGAATTTGTTTTAGTTACTTATTGTTTAAAAAGAAAAAGAAAAAGAAAAAGAAAATGGTTGTTTTCGGTCTACACGAGAAGTGAAGAATGTTTTAATTACTTTTTTTTTTATTAATTTACA